TTTTTTTTTTCAGACATCCCAATCCGTAAAGTCTCTCGATTAAACGGCTGTGTTTAGTACGTTTACTTGGGGGACATTTTCACCTGCAATCCTCTCACTTTCGGTGAAAATTAAAGTCTGAATTCAAAATAGGCATCTATCATTAAGAACGGAAGTGACTTCGTGATGAGGGTGGATAGGAGAAGGCAGCAGAGGCACTGGCAATATTGCACACTGCAGGAAACAATTCAAGAGGATTGAGGCCATACGGAGAGTTGGAGCAGAAGCAGTCCACAAAACTGAAGGAGAAGTTGTTTATTTATACTCGTACTTCCCTCTGAGGCGCGGCCAGACAAGCGAGTGAGCGAGTTGTGGAGCGTCAGTCCCTTTGAGTCCTCCAATGACAATTTTGTACTGTCTTCGTGCACTGCATTCTACGTAATTATGAACAAGTTAACACTGTCGCGCAATCGCTGCAATGTGGATCTTAAAATGCACCTGAAACGCCGATCCACAATTTGCTACCGGTCGTCACTCTCAAGGGTTGCAAGGTAGGATGGATTACACTTCCGTGGTTAGGTAGCAGTAGCCCCTATTTCGCAATTCGTCAAGAGCGCTGGTATGGAAGGGTTGAAACGAGACACGTAGGCGCGTTGAACAGTTTGTTTGTCTAATGTGCAAAAGGGAGGCTGAAGGTCGATCTTGATAGCAGAAATTGAAGGCCAGGTATGGCATCACTGGAAAGACTAATTGGAATGTGGTGAAAGAGCTTCCGCCTGCGGAGCTTTGCGTTAACTAAGTGCGCTCTTTCCAGTCATCATGAGGTAAATTTCTAGTCAGAGTTTTCGGTGTTGCGAATTATTGGCACACCAACAGACCATCTTTCGTGTAGGGAATGGTGTCAGTTTATTTGCATTTCGGGTTGTCGATGCTTCTGCTGCACAATAATTTTAAAGCCATTATTGAGTTATTCCATGCAAAGCTTCATTAGGAGTGAAAGTTTGGACACCAAAGTGATAAAAAGTTGGGTGTAGAGTGGAAAGTGTAGGCGACAAGAACCACAGCGAGCAAATAGAAAGTGTTTGATGAGAGCAATCGCTTTGTGACCTCATCAAAGTGAATGGACGTAGGAAGGGTTGCAAAGTCCGTGTCACGCACGTATGTGCACGTGATTAGTGTTAACATGCTAAACAAACAGAGTAAGGTCATTCACTGCACGTTTTGCACCAGCGCCCGGATTCCTGCTCTCGCCGCACTGACTAATCCGGATGCTGACCGGATCGTCGAATTGTCGGCCTAGGGTGCAACAGGAATCACCTACCTTGTCATCAATGGAGAAATGCCACGCACTTTCAAGAAATGAATGCTGTGCGGCAGTTGCTCGTGCCAGGGACAGTGGCAGACGGGAAGGGGGAGAAGCGGGATGTAGACCTGTGGTTATGCTCCATCGGTGACGGTGATGCAAAAATTTAGTTCTAAGTAGTCGCTAGAGTGGAAGCTCAGAGAATGGTTCAATAATGGGCAATGCCTTGCCAATGAATCATTCAGTTTCGACTCGGCATGAAATTCGGGTTAATATCAGGCATCATCAGTGTAAGCAGAGCGCCCTGACATCGGAGTAGTGATGTGGTCGGGAAAGCTACCGATCGAAGTAAAGGCGTCGTTGGTTTCCAAATCATGTAGCTTCAGTTTGATGCTTATTCAGTGTGCCAAACTTGAAAAATCAATTATTTCTTCCTCGTAGCATTCCAGCATTACCATCCACCAATCATCACCCAAATTTGGAACTTTGCTTTTCATTACCTCAACCAACAAGGGAGCTCAGAATGAAGGGGTTAATTTTGTTAGTTTAATCACGTGCTCTTTCCACAGCACATCTGAAATGTTTGGCACCTGTGTCGACGCCGGTCCACCCCTGAGTGGGACAGGGGAGGAGGCAAGTCGGGGTGAAGAGGTGCCACGAGCTAGCGATTGGTGAAAAATAGTTTGGCGTATTCGACCAACAGCCAATCCTTTTCCAGTGCCACACTCACTCCACTGGCTTAGGCTTGATGCTGCTGCAACACATGTAAGGAAAATATTTTTGCTTATTTTTGATTAAAATTGTTTTACACAGGAGCGGGATTTTGGCTGAGATTGCCAAGGTTTGACTGCGCACTAGCGCGAAATACCTGCCGTATTTGTTTGAGGCTCACCGCAATGCTTGATTGTGTAGACATGATTCGGTAATCGTGATTCCATTCACCCATCCCACCTTACGCATTCTAGATCCTGCAATCCACTGCCAGTAGTAGATGCTCCCATTCTGTTTAACGCCCAATCACTTCAGGAGTCATTTGATGGCACAGTTAGACAAAGTTAAGACACGTGTTAGCTGAGAGGTAGAAGTTCTCTCCAAACTTTGGCTAGAATTTGAGCAGTACGTTTAAAGTTAGGAGCTCATTGCGGTGATTGAAGTGGTGAGAAAAAATGGAGCGCCAAGCTTGTCAAAAGCGAAGGGTGATGAGGAGATGCCGTTGTCACCGATGCTGTTCTGTGAGATGCCTTCTTCATCTCGTCGTCAGTGTTCCGCTTCCTCATAGTGTCTGCATGTGCAAAACCCAGAATTCGGATCATCATCATCATCATCATCATCGTTAGTTTGTGGGGCGGAATTGGGCTGCTGTCTTAAAATCACAACGTCTCACAAGTAGCAAGGAGAGGCAACTGTAAAATTTCCAATCACTCTCTGGGTCGACCCGACGGTGCATGACCATCAGAACCTTTAGAACGCCTTACCGAAACGACCTTGGAGCGGTTGTTCAAACTGTCATTTCTTCATCTCGTATGCATGGCCATGGAGTAAGGCAAATGCCCAACTGCTCGACTGTTCATCACTCCTTGCCTGCTCATTTTTGCATAGCTGATTTTGCATGCTGAACGAATGACATAATCAGTAAAACTAGGTGCTTCGAGTTACGGCGCCTGTGGGGCTACAATTGCTCCAGATAGGGGCAACCAATTTGGTTACAGAAGACTTAGTGCCCCACACTGAAGTCACGACCGCATTTTCATGTCGGCGAGTCGTCCAGGAGTTGGAGTCAAGACACATAACGTCATTATTGCAATGAAGCCATTCATATGCACCCAAGAAACTCCGGCAAAGCTACAAGTGCCTACGTCGTGTGCGATTTTCTGTAGCGGAGCCTGTTCCAGTGTTAGTATCAAGTTCAGTGGAACTGAGGTGCGGGGGATAAGGAGAGTTTTCACGTACAACACTGAGTTCCAGCGACTACCCACTCCGTACCTTTTGACTTCGCACTCGACGGCGACACCCAATTTCGTGCAAGAGATGGAGAAGTTAAAGATCCACCGACATGTCAACACTGCGCTGGAGAAAGGGAGGCGGGGACGTTTCGCCTTCCATTTCACAATTTGGTCTGCATTTCGAAGCATGGACTTTCTCCAATCACGTTTTTAATGTTTTGAGCTCCGAAAACCTGCCAACATTTGCTTGGCCCGCCTGCCAGAAGCATAAGTAAAACGTGGATGATCCCTGTCACCCATCCCGAAGTAAATGAACTGACGCGAACGCGATCATGAAGAAGGGTGATGGAAGAGCAAACAGTAGTGCAAGCTCGTTTGAGTATGCTTTTGCACTAACAAGCTGTAGGACTGCAAGAGCCTAGGTAGTGGACGAAATTCACCATTTCTCCCACAAACCTTCGATACTTCGTAGGCGTTCCATGCCATAGAGTATGAGGCAACTTCCTCCATCCAGTCGTCCCGACTCAGTGATGTGCAGTCAGCAGTGGAAGAGAAGAACGCAAAAATTGCGAGGCAATAAAAGGCACTTGTAGAACTGAAACGATGAGTGATTCCCTCAAACTGCCTATAAGAATACATTTTGAGTCGCAAGAACAGATTCAGATCACTGCAAGTACACCCCTCGTGTGTGTGCCGCCTGTCCAGACTCTAGATTGTTTTCAAAGTCTTACACGGTCCTGCATCAAGTAACGCTTAAACTAGGAGGCGCGTACATCGCCTCGAACTTCCATCCAACTTCCTTCCTTAATTTTCCACATTTTAAGAGATCGGTACATTTACGAAAATCTACACGAGGTGGATTCGTTCTAGCGGATGCAAAAGATCGTGCCATTTCCTGTACGGCTTGCTGCATCGCCTGTAAGCTGTCAAGCAGTGCGCTGATTTGCTGTAGTCTATCATCACCACACAATTGCCACTCATCTACCACCTGATAGATGTGACCTGGGCTCGTCTGCTGCACGGGTTCCAACTCCGCCTGAAACAGCGCTACTCTCCTGCATGTCGTGATAGCAGATTGTGACGACGTTGAGGTGTCGATTACTTGCTTTTGCGAACATCACATCGACTCGTTGACGAGTGTCGCCAATTTGGTCTGCAAATTCCACAACGCGATGCGGCGCGACCACTGAATCCTTTTGCTACTTACACTGCACAAGCCTGGACGGCGGCAAATGGTTAATTGAAGTCTGATCGGTGTGGGAATTTTTCCCTTATTCAGTGCACCTACTGCGTCATGATGTCATCGAAATATGACGCCTCCAAACCAACTCTGAGCGACACACCGTTTCGCCACAAGCCTGTACAATCCTGCCACTTCTTCAAGTCGATAGCACTGCGAGACACCCATCAATCGGTTGAGTGCTCTCCACCTAACAATTTGCATACATGGTCCTGTGCATTTGGACAAGCGGCTACAAGGTGCCGTGTCACTAAGGCTTAACTACTCAATGCAAACAGGAACAGAATAAGTTCATTGCGCTAGCAAAGGGTGATAACGCTGACTGAACCTACTCCTGACGATGCAGTCAGAGGCGAAGTGAGAATGAAGTGTCATAAGTGTAACTCATGCCAGTAAGGTCTACTTGAATAGAATAATGCGTATATTTGACTATGAAGAGCACAATCGGAGCGGTACTGTAGACGAAATCAATGAGATATATAGTCGAGTCAGCCAAATTGAAATACATGCAGCGAAAATCAGCGCCTTTCGCGATCTAATCCTCCCATCCGCAGGAGTCACTCGTCTTGTCGTCGTCGTCCTCCGAAGTGTTCTCCAAACACTGTCGCCTTCTACTTACCATCTCAAAAATCGCCTACAATGCAAAGGGATGTACAAATGAAATGAGCTATACGCACACCGCCGGCGGGGAGATTGACTCCGAGTAGGCGGAGGACGTAAACACAGAAGTCTCCCTAAGCAAGGCAACCAGGTGACACGGAGTAGGACAAATATAAACTCACAGATACGTCGCAGACTCGACTAGCAGTGGAATACTTCGCCTCGGCCCTCGGAGGTAGTTGGCGTTCGCTGACTTTGCGTAGCTGGAAGCCACCTGCTCGGATATCAGAGAGTAGGTCCCGTGGAGGGCCAGGTAGCATTGGTTTTGAGGAGGGTTCACCGGTGGCAGAGGAAGAGGAAGGAGGAGGAGGTGGTGGCGGAGGGGGAGGCGGGGGTGGAGGCGGAGGTGGATGCTCAGTATGGAAGGATGTTGAAAGGAGATTGTCAGAGCTGTTGGTCATTAGGGCGGGTGGTGGTGGTGGAAGTAGATCTGCACTCACATTCAGAGCGTCGCCGCTGCCGTCAAGTTGGGGCTGTTAGGGAAGTTGATTTACTTAGGTAAATTAAGTAGGAGGAAAATTGTATTAGGCTTGAGTAA